GAGAGAGAGAGAGAGAGAGAGAGAGAGAAAGAGAGAATGGAAACGCATAGAAGAGTGGATCCGTTTAAACTTGCTCCACAATAATGTATAATAGACAAGTGTAGTTAAAAGAGATTAAAACAAGAAAAAAAAGAAACAAAATGAAAGAAAACAGAAACACATTGCCTATGCATTATGAGAGAGAGGGAGAGAGGAGAGAGAGAGAGAGAAGAAAACAAAAACGTTGTTTGTAATATCTGTACATACAAATTTCAAGTAAAGTATCTTATTTTCTTACAAACTATATAGCGATGACATTACGAAAGAATACTTAAAATTTTGTTGTAATATTAAGTATTTATTCAGAATTCATGTTGTCCCAATATAGTTTGCTTTATGCACACAACTCGTCTTTTGGTGTAATTAAAAAAAAAAAAAAAAAAGAACTATCGTTTTTATACAAGCTTAGGAATAAATGAAATAAAAACAAAATAAAAAAGTGCAGAACGAAAAGAAAGAGGAAAAAATACGAGGAAAAAGGATAATTAGAAGGAATACAGAAAGAAAAGAAAAATGCGATCTACTAATTTTCGATGGAGAATGAACGAAATTATGGGTGAGGATAGGATGAGATCAAGGAAGAGAGGCAGACGAGAAGGAAAAACCTGTGAAAAAAAATCCGTGGTTGAGAGAGTAACGCGAGATCTTCGACGGATCACGCAGTTCTTTAATCACTCGTTTCCTTTGTGATGGCGCTATGTGTCATTTTGACTGTCTAGGACCGAGCATCATAATGTTAGTGTGAAATTCGCGTATAAACATTTTCATCGTGTCCCCGATTCAAAAATCGATCGAGATACAGCTGTGATCTTTAATATTGAAGCGGGAATGCGTGCATCGCTCTTTTCGTCGCGATATAATTCGTCTTTTTTATACGTTTATAGAAAAATCCATCGGTCATCATCGATAAACATTCTATCGGAACAAGTAATTTGAGGTTACTCGTTGTCCTGGATAGTCGAATGTAACATTTATCATACATATATACATACACACACATATATATGTTTCAAGTTTATAACTTGGTTAAAATGGAAATGAGCCATTTTAACGGTAAATAGACCACATTACATATGATGTTTCAGTGAAAGCGAAACCATGCGATATCATCGTCCATATTCTTTAGAACGCTAGCTTGATACGTTTGTGTCCCGTCAAGATTAGTTAAAACACGGAGGGAACGAGTGAATTGATCGAAGAATAACTGCGTGAACCGAAAGCCTTGGCTGGTGATCGAAAGACTGCGACAAACATGGATGGAGAAAGAGAAAGATATAAGGTTTTTACTTTAAACGTGAATCATCTTTTTCGTCCTGCGAGAACGTTACCATTTTACGATCATCGTCAATCATTATTGCATTTACAGTTGGTCGTTTATTTCTTATGGGAAGAAAATAAAAATGATTACAAAAGAAAAAAAAAAATCGCTGGCTGTTCAACGGATCTATTGAGGTTAGACCGTGAAACGTCGACGAACGAACGCAAACAAAATGATCTAGGATGATAAACGCTTCTTTCGTTTTAATCTCGATTTAAAGTAGCACTCTATTGGGGTCCAGATGTACATTCATCTATATCTCATCAATAAATCTGGCAGCAAAAGAAGTATGGAATTCATTCGATTAGTTATTAAGAGTCTCATCTATATTCGCAAGAAATGTACGTGGATTCTAGTTTCGATGATAAATTATATTTCCTTTCCATTTAATATTCAATACAATTTATATTTAGTTTACAAAAATAACATGATTTCATTTGATTATCAATTTAGAATCGTATAGAAAGAAAAAGGTTGATTTAATCCGTGTACATTTTTTGCTTCTAGATTAGTAAAACGTTCTCGAAAATCGTCGCGAATCCTTAGAAACCTCCCAAAAATCGATTCGATTAAAAATAAAAAAAAAAAAAAAAAAAAAAAGTAATCTGGGAAAACTGTCGGCTAATTTTTCTTTTCTTTTTCTTCATCATTTCTATCACAAGACCGTGTGTGGTCCACGCCACAAGAAAGAAATAGTTACGGTGATT